ACTCAAGAAAGTGATATATATGGATTTGGAATTATTGCATATGAAGTCTGTACAGGGCTTCCTCCTTATCATGATATTGCTCATGATAAATTCTTAACTATTAGCATTTGTCAAGGACTTAGGCCAAAATCAAATTATAAAATTCCTCAATTAATTCTAAACATAATTAAACAATGTTGGGATGCTGATCCTTTAAAACGACCTAAAGCAAAAGAATTAAAAAGTTTATTATACAATTTATGGGGTGAATCACTGACTTTTTCTGGCGAAACTGAAATCAAAAACCAAATTGTAGAAGCAGATGAAATTAATGAGAAGTTAACATCATCATCATCATTATATACTGGACCTACTCTTTCATATACTACAAATCCTCAAGCAGTTTACACGACTAGACTTTTAGATTTTAAAAATCTTCCAGAACCAAAAAATGATATTGATAACAAGGATGATGATAATTCATTTGGAGAATATTCAGGTAATTAATTTCCTAATTTAACTTTACAAAAGCATTCTTTAAAGATTTCATAATTATTTTTTTTTTATATATATATTACAGAATCAATAGAAGCAATAGATTTTACTAAACTAGACCTAGGTACTTATATACATTAACTTTTTACATGATTTATTTTATTAATAATATTATTTAATAATATATTTTTCACTTGTTGATAAAAGTAACTGAATTAAAGAAAGGAAAGGTATCTTTGGTATAAATTTCTTTATTATTTACTATTTATTTTCTTTAACATTACTATAGTATGATATTTTATTGGAATAAATTTTTTATGATTAAATAAAGTATTTATAAAATTATATGAAAAATAAATATAATGATTTGTATGTAGTTTGTTATAATAATGTAACAAGGTAAAAATTACATTGTATTTTATATTATGTTAATCTTGTCATAAAGTTACCCAACCCAAAAGTAGGATAAAAACCTATTATGACCTGGCCCAAATTTTTAGTTCAGGTTTGATCGGGTACCCGATCTGAGCTGATCCACTAATTAGATATTTGACGGTTGAAACATATTAATTAGGTGAAAACTAAAAACACTAGTGGGAATGGTAAACAATTATGAAGAACAAATATATTAATTAAATTTAAAGCAAATATAGAAAATTTGTTTAACGTGTTCAAGTTGGAACTAGTGACAATTGTAGCGGTGGTAATTATACTTCCTGCTGATAATAGCAAAGTTGATTTATATGTTGATAATATGTGTTTTGCAATGTTGGAAAAACTTTGATAGATAATTAGAATTTTACTGCCGTATGTAGTAGGATTTCGTCCCTATAGTTAATTTCATTTGTATTGTTTAAACAAATAAACTAAATAAATATATAAATTGCAGTCTTTTTTTTAATTTTAATGAAATAAATTCTCAGATCTGTACTAGTTTCCATTAACAATTAATAATAAAATAAATTATATGATTTAATTTTAAAAATATAGGTTTTTTTTAACAATAAAAGAAAATTTACGTTTTGTTTGATCATCGAATAATTTTATAGGCAATTCGTATTATTGTATAGCCATTAAATTATCCAGCCAATTGATTTAAATTTTTTCTTGCGTAAATAGCCATATACGAGATACTGTACATATGAAATCAAAATAATTTTATGACTATTATGAAAATTAAAACAATTAAAATTTTTTATTTTATTTAAAAAAAAACATCCAAAAGTAAAAGAAAAGAACTCTTTTACTAAGTACAATTAAAATTCATTTTTTTAGGGTTAAGCCAGGTTGAAGAATAAGATCGGGCTGCGGATGTTTAGAAATAATTTTTTGATTTGTGTAACATGAAACTGTGACATACCTGCGGGTGACTAGACAATCTATATAGTTATATATGATACTAATATATTTAAAGGGCTGGCTCCTAGCCGGCCCTAGCACTATGACTCTAGTTATAAATTATAATAAAGTAATGTTAAAGTGTGAAATTATTTTCAATAGTAGAATATATTATTTGATCACTAGGTGTAACCGTCGCGCTGCGCCGGGGATAAAACTTCTTGGTATTTTGATAATAAATATTTACAATATGGTAAGGTTAGACTAATAAATTTATATAATTTATATAATTTACATATTTAATTCTATTTCATCATTTTTAGGTCCTTCCTTTAGTTCTTCCAGTAAGGTTCAGTTGTTTTTCACTTTTACATTTCGTTTCTTACTCATTTTTTTATTTTTTATTTTGTTTCTGTTTCATATTTCGTTTTTCACTAATTTAATTTATTTTTTTTCAGATATTTTAGTTCTTTCAGTTCTACAATTAATAAAGGTATTTTTTTTATTTTTNTGCTTCGGGTCATTGTCTTGCTGGAGCCGCCAATCATCACCGAGCATTGCATCAATCTCCGGAATATGATTTTCAAGGATCTCAACATAAAATTCAGCATTCATTATTCGACGGAAGCAAAACAAACTTGTTTTGCCCGTTACGCAAAATCCGCCCCATGCAAAAATCTTTGTTCTGTCTTTTGGCATGGGGCGTATTGGCCGAATTTTCTTATGCCAACGCTTCACAGTGTTCCGGAAGAGTTGGAAGGCTGTTTCATCCGAAAAAAGTGTTGTGTTCCAATTATCATTAATGTGCTGCTGCGCCCATTCGATACGTTTTTGCTTATGCGCAGCAGTAAGCATTGGGGTCGCCCTTGGAAGTGATTTTTTATAGCCATGGACAGTTAAGTGCCTTGAAACTGTCGAGTGGGATACTTCAAGGCCCATTTGGCCCAATTTTTTGGCCAAAGTCCTCGTTGGAACTGATGTATCTCTTCGGATACTTTGTCCAAGGGACCTGGAAAATTTGCCGGTAATTTTCCTTGGGCGACCACTTCCCTTTTTTCGGTTTACTATGTTATCCTCTTTTAACTTTTTAATATTATCATATATAGTGGAGAGTGGGATGCGTGTAATCTTGTGTATTTCAGTCCCTTTACGCATACCCTCACTCCACAATTGTAAAATTGTTTGTCGCTGCCTTTCTTTCTTTGAAACTGTCATTTTGCGGCGCAGTAGCTCGGAAAAACATAAATATATTATTTACGAATTAGGTCGGGATTTATGGTCATGATCGTCATGTCGATTTTCCATTTTAGATTTTCCAAATCGGATACAAATTGGGTACGTAAGTCCTGTCTCTTATACACATCTAGATGTGTATAAGAGACAGCCCATAACCCCTCTTCATCTTCCCATCACTCCTTTTCGTCTCCCATCACTCCTCTTCATCTTCCCATTACTCCTTTTCGTCTCCCATCACTCTTTTTCATCATCCATCATGTCCTATTTTTCCTTTTTATTTCCTATCACTTCTCATTACTCTTTTTTACTCCCTTTCTTCTTCTATTACTTTCCATTACTCCATTGTTATTTCATTTTTTTTATTAGTATCTTTCTTTTTGATCATTGTCATTTACTTATCTTTTTTATTTATTGTTATTGTTTTTTTTATTGTATCACTTTATTAAAAATAAATACAGTGATTTTTTTCTTTAAAATCGAAAATGTGGGACTTAAATTTTAAAAAATTTCATTTAATAAGATTATTTTGAATAAATATGTTTGCAAAAAAAAATTTTTTAAAAAATATCTTCGCTTGTTTAACCGATCAAAAATTAGCTAAGTTAAAAAAATCTATACGTTTGCCGATCAAATAAATGGCCTTAACTTTTAAGTTTAAATCAGGCACTGAATCATGCTACACAATTCAAGATTATGTATTTTTGTATTATATTTTATAAAATATAGATTGTTAGATCGAATATATTTAACCATATTTTACTCGATTATTGCGGCCGAGTAATCATTAATTTATTATTATTGCTCTTTTTTTAGACTGTAAGTGTGACATGCCTTTTTAATCATTTTATGGTATAAGATTTCGGAATCCCGTTCTAATCTCAGAGTATATTTACTGATAACTTAATAATTAGATTATATAACTTGGAACTGGCCAAAATTTTACCTGATCGTAAGTCATTAATATTGTTCTTTTTTTTCCTTTTTAATCATTATATGATGTAAAATTTCGGAGGTAGAACTTTTTAGCGAAATTAACGAAATTGTGCGACTAATTTTAATCAAATTTTGAAATATTTATCTGAAACTTTACGTGATTAATAAATAAACCATTAATATTGTTCTTTTTTAGATTGTAGGCGTGGCATTTCAGTATTGTCTTTTTAAGAAAAATAGAAAGAAAAATTATTTAAATATCGTTTCAAAAAAATATTACCATTGAAAAAAAAAATTCAGCCTAAAAAAAAAAACTACGAAATTGTGCGACTAATTAATCAAATTTTGAAACTTTACGTGATCATTAATAAATAAGTCATTAATATTGTTCTTTTTTTAGATTGTAGGCTTGGCATGCATTACCTTTTTAATCATTTTGATTTCGGAGGTAGAGTTATGTAAATTATTTTCTTATATATTCTTCTTATTTTCCCATTTGATTCTATTTTTTTTTTTTCTAATAAATCCTTTCGAAAAAGCAAGGTATGTTATGAAATAATATTTTTTATTTTCTTTCGTAATAGAGAAAACAAAAATGAAATGTCAATTATCCTGAAACAACCTTAAACGTGTACATAAATAAATTTTTGAAGAATTTTTTTATATATATTCTATATCCACTTTATGATTTTATTCTTTCTAAATAATTATTACTAAACAAGTCGCGGATAAAATTAATATTTCTTGTTATACCTTTTTAAGAAAAATGCCGTATGATCCTGATGATGATGAAAAAAAAATCGAGTCTAGGGTGTCTTATCTCCAATCACAAGTACAACATAAAACATGTTCACTGTCAATTATGACCTCACCTCGGAATTTCACGGACTTTTCTGGTATGATAACGAAACCACCTAGTTCAGACGCGCCTAGATGGAGATATTATGAACCAGGTTTAAATATTGAAGGTATACATATATATAAAAAAATATACATCTACAGATTAAATTATACTTACTTCGATATAGATTATTTTACTAACGTATTTATACGTATTTACTTGTTAGGATATTGCAAAAACCCTTCTTGTGCAGCTTACAATAGTAGTCGAGTTATTAAGCCACTAGGTTTTCGGGTTTTCAAATTTTGTATTGATTCATATCTCTGCAAGTGTCCTCTTTGTGGATGTAAATTTAATGAGGAAACTTGTGGTTTTTATAAAACTCGATTTAGATATTATGGATATCAGGAGGGAAACAGCAATAAGTTTGATAGTGGGTGGACTACCGCTTCTAGTACTGGATACACTACTTTTGATTCTTCGGATAAACACCTTGTTCCGTGGCGTCAACTTACGATTGAAGCAACTGATGATTCATGCACCATAATTTAGCTGTAATTTCTTTTTAAGGATTTTATAATAACCATTCCTTTTTAACTAGGCAGTTTTATCTTTCTTTCCTTGTGATTTTTACATATGCAGAACATATTTAGAATGAAATAAATCAAATTTTTTAAAAAACAAAAAAAACCGCCGAATATTACCTTTTGAATACATGTATTATACAAAGAAAGACAGTTCAAAAACATATAATTTTGCATTATTACATAAATTAAACGCATAATTGAAATTATTATTCATCAAACTCTTTTTTAAAGGCTTAAATCGACAAACTATATATTATCATGTTATAAACGTAAGGGTTCCCATTTTCTGGTAGTAAGTATTTATTATAAATTCTTATCGTGCTAAAAAACTTTTTTATTTATATTTTAAAATATTCGCAATACTTAGCTGTAAAATTGAATCATTTTTATGTATACGATAAATGAATGGATTTTTTACAATTATATATATATACCCAACTTTCTTCTAAAAAAACTAAGGTCTACTGTAATCTAAACTATACCAACATCGTAACTATCTAAGAAAGACACCACTAATTACTGTACTAAATCTGAGACTTGTTTACAGTTTTTACCTTCTGTTTCCGTACGTTCGTATCCTTGTCCGAGAGTCTCTGTGTACAAGAAAAATTCGTTCGATTATGTTCATGCAACTCCTCCTCATTTACCCCTTTATTACCCATCTTCCTCCCATACCTATTTCGAATTTTCGATCCTTCTTGTTGTAGAAATTAGATTCCGCTTCTAGTACATTTAGTACTTTTGCCTGACTTATATTCTCCAACATTGTTGATAAGCTTTTAGGTAGTAGTACGAAATTATTTTATTGAAATTGGTGACTTATTACGAACTTTGTCTTCAAACAAAAGAGTCCATCCTAATTAAAAAAAAATTGCTGTGATCATCTTCCAGAATTAGTTCATTCTTCTCCAGGGTGACGACTTGTTCCTGACTCAATACACCTTTGATCTTTGTCCACATCTTTTCCTTTCTCTCACAACTTCTGCACAACATTTATTACTTCCTCTGATTTAACGTAGTCCTTAGTAGAAGAAGCTTTATTTTTTGATGTTTCTTTAAACATCAAATTCTGTCTACCATTTCTACCACTTTGTCTATTGAGACTATCTCATTAGGATCTGTGTTTTCGTTAGAACTTGATGGTAATACATCAACTTTATTCGTTTTTGGTACCCCAGTTGGTCGACCCAGTATGCTATTAAATTTTTCTTAACAGTTGGTATTATCCATATATTATCTAGTCTTTTCCGCTCCTGTTCAATGTGAAGTTCTCCTAGGAGGCTTTCATCTGTCATCTAGTTTTTCAATATAAAATAATGGTAACATTCTGATATTACATAAGTAATATCAAGTATAAATATATATATTTTAATAATCAACTAGAGATTGAAGAAGTGGTATAAGATTCATTAAAGTAAAGAAGGAAAAAAGAAATCTTAAAGAAAAAAGAGGACATGAAAGAGAAGACAAGGAAAGTGAAGACTTAAAGAAAGAGAAAACACAAAAGAGAAGACATGAAAAAGAAGACATAACTGAATGGAGCATTACTGGTTTCCTAAATGAGTGCAAAGTGGCTTAAGGGAGGTGTGTTTTTTTTTTTATATTGCAAAGAGTATTTTTTTTTTAATGGAAATAAAGAATTTATTAATGAAATAAAATACTTTTTAACGAAAATATAATATTCTTTTAACAAAATAAGTTATTTTTTAATAATTTATTTTCTTAGAAAAAAAAAAATTATAATATCTTTTCACCATATATACAGTATATTCAATACTATATTTTAATAAATTTTATTATTAGAGAAAATAAAAAAAACAAATGGTGGCTTGGTTGTGCCACAGATGTAACTTCCTGGTGTATTATTATATATTAAGCATTTTTAAATAAAATAAATATTAGTGATATTACTAAACAATTATAAAGTGTTTAATTAAAAAAGAATTATTTAATACAACTAGCCAGTATTTTTTTTGTTCCAGTACCCACCACAGAACATGGGACTGACGGGAGTTTGATCAAGGGATCAATGAATCAATGATCAAGGATCGGAGCATATTATATTTTAATAAGTAAATTTCACCCTGCACAAAAAAATCCTATCTGTCATCCTTCTCTATAGACATCCTTGACTAACATACGCGAAACTAACAAGTCTCACTAGACCCGAATTCTTATCCCTTGTAATGGGAAATGAGTGTCGCCAGAACGAAATCAATTTGGCAACGAATTAACTAAGCTTCTGAAAACTAAGATCTACAAATGTACCATGTGATTGCTACGGAAAAAATAATTTATCCGATCAGTTCATTAACTCTGGTTCTTCTCTATTCCTTTGACTTTTTTTTGTCTAGTATAATTTTTTTTGCAGCGCTATATGAAACTGAATCCAGTGACGAAGAAAAGAAAATCTCTTTGTCAAGTAAAAGACCATAAATTTGTTGATTTGAATAAATTGATAAATTTATATTGTGTAAATAAAGTCATAAAAACTTTTTTTTATTTTTTTTTGCATAAGTAAATATTGCGTAATATGTAGTGTAACGTTTAATTTTATTTTATTTTTTTTTAAATGAAAAAAAAAATAAAGAAAAAATATATATATAACCCATCGATTCATAAGGAGGGTGGGTGGGCGTTATACTCTTAGATTTAGGATTCATTATTCTTATTCTTAAATCCAATAATCAAAATCCAAGATATTAAATTCGCAGGGAAACTTTTCGTGTTGATCACAACCAAAAAAGAGTATACTTTGCAAGTGTTTTGATGATCGTTTAACCGGGAGTCTATGGGGCACTTTATTTTAAAAAATATGAAAAAAAATTGTAACACTATATTTCAGAGAGTACGACAGATTACCGAATAGGAAAAGGCCATTGTCTGTTTTTTACTCTACGATAATAACCAATAACGTCAGTAAATGAAAATTTAGTAGTTGAGACGAATATTAAATGAATAAAATTTAAAAAATTAAAACATATAAGCGAAAGTTTTTTTTTTTAAAAAAAAAAAGAATAAAACTAAGTTATAACTTATTTTGATTAGCATTATTGATACGTAATTAACTCTTTAATCTATCAATTATATAACAAAAAATAAGAGGTATTTTAATCGTAGAATTAAGTGTAAAATGAAAAATGCTTGTTTCAAGTTGCATACGCAAAAATTATAATAATCTTTGTTGAACTCATAGCGATACCTTTATTATCTTCTAATTTTACAATTTTACTAGTATATAGACTATATTAACGAAAAAATTATATTTAATTCAGACTTATTAGAGGATGCATTCTATCGCCAACGATGGACGTATTTTATACTAAGCGATAATTTTACGTTATATTTGGTATTGAGACTAAAGAGTGGCTATCTCTCCTTCTACTACTTTATTAAATTATGAAACATGAAATCTTCAATAAACAATAAAATACCCTGTATATTAGATCGCTCAGTTTATTAATTTAATAAATGTAAAATCATGATGAAAGTTTTAAAATTATAATAAAGTAATAAAGTGTAAAACTATTTTTATTATTATTATGATTTACAGTCAATAGTAGAATAAAATGAGCATAAATCGATTTATTGTTCAATAATTATTCGATCTACTCGATTATGGCGGTTGAGTACTAATTATTAAACTAATAAAAATAGTTAAATAATAATAGTAAGCGAGTTCTACTTAGAGAACAATAAAAAACTAATGAAAAAGGCTAAAAGAAACAAGTGATAAGAAAGACAAAATTTTCCGGTTTTCTGATATAAGAGAAGATAGCATAGTTAGGACTAAGTCTGAATGATAATAGATAACTAAAGTAAAAAACGCACTTACAATAAAGAAGATTTCTTAAAATTGTCTGTATTACGTGTGATTTCTCACTGTCTATATAATGTATATTGATGTAGCGACTTAAGGCGTTATACATATCTACATTGTTTCCGACCGGTTTGAAGTCGTGGTTTGCACATTTAAACTGCCAACTGCTCCAAAGGCTGCCATGATTGCACGAAGTACACACTATCTTCATGTGAGTTCCTATTTTCATTCTACCACCACAACTCGCATGCCACCAGTGAGTAATCACATCTTTCTTTGGACATTCTTTAACCGGTACTGGACACTGGAGAGCTAACCATTCTTCATTTGAATCTGGTGGATAATAACCCATAGTGAATAAATTGGATTATTTTAATAATGTCAACAATCAATTCTTTATATAAGAAATTGACTGGTCTTTATAAGAGGTTTTTTGGAATTTAATATAAATTGTTTCGAAAAGGTCCGTCAATGAAACATTTATTTGCCGATAACTTGATGATTAGATAACTTAGAACTATCTGAAATTTTAATATAATCATTAATAAGTATTGTTCTTTTAGATTGTAGAGAGGGATTTCTGAATTGCCTTTTTAATTATTATGGATGTAAGATTTCGAAGATAGAACTTACTAATCTAAGTAAAATTCGCAATCAATTTTGGAATATTTATTTACTGATAACTTAACTGTTAATGATTAAATAGATTAAATAGCTTGGAACCGGCTGAAATTTTACATAATCATTAATGAATAAGTCATTAATATTATTCTTCTTTTTAGATTATAGGCGTAGCATTTCAGCATTGCATTTTAAATCATTTTATGGTGTAATATTTCGGAGGTAGTACTTTCTCGCGAAATTTTTAGCGAATTCGCGTTCTAATCTTAACCAATTTTGGAATATTTATTTACTAATAACTTAATGATTAAATAGATTGGATGGCTTGGAACTGGTTAAAATTTTACATGATCATAAGTCATTAATATTGTTCTTTTTTTTAGATTGTAGGGTGGCATTTCAATATTGCCTTTTAATCATTATATGGTGCAAGATTTCGGAGGTAGGACTTTTTAGCGAAATTAACAACTGAAAATTGTGCGACTTAAATTTTAATTAAATTTTGAAACATTTATTTACTAATTCGGCTAAAGCTTCACATGATTATTAATAATTAAGTCATTGATATTGTTCTTTTTTTAGATTGTAGGGTGGCATTTCAATATTGCCTTTTAATCATTATATGGTGCAAGATTTCGGAAGTAGGACTTTTTAGCGAAATTAACAAAATTGTGCGACTTAAATTTTAATCAAATTTTGAAACATTTATTTACTAATTCGGCTAAAGTTTCAAATAATTAAGTCATTAATATTGTTCCTTTTTTAGAATGTAGATTGGCATATCAATATTGCCTTTTAATCATTATATGGTGCAAGATTTCGGAGGTAGAACTTTTAACGAAATTAACAAAATTGTGCGACTTAAATATTAATCAAATTTTGAAACATTTATTTACTAATTCGGAACTGGCTAAAGCTTCATATGATCATTAATAATTAAGTCATTAATATTGTTCCTTTTTTAGATTGTAACGTAGCATTTCACCATTACCTTTTAAATCATTTTATGGTGTAATATTTCGGGGTAGAACTTTTTAGTGAAATTTAACGAAATTGCGCGCCTAATTTAAGTAATTTACAATCAAATTTTAGAATATTTATTAATTTGAAACTGGCTGAATCTTTGCATAATCATTAATAATTAAGTCATTAATTAATATTGTTTTTTTTTTTAGACTGTAGATGTGGCATTTCGACATTGCCTTTTTAATCATTTTATGGTGTAAGATTTAGGAGGTAGAGTTATGCAAATTATTTTCTTATATATTATTCTTATTTTCTCATTTAATTCTATTTTTCTTTTTCTAGTAAATCCTTTCGAAAAAAGCAAGGTATGTTATGAAATAATATTTTTTTCTATCTAAATTTTCTATTAAGTGATATTATTTTTCTTTCGTAATAGAAAAAACAAAAAAGAAATGTTATTACAATTGCTAGCTCAACCCTTAGCCGCTGACGCTTTGACGGCATTGGATACCTTTTTGAACTCACTCGAACCTCTTGAAGGTTATATTGTAAAAACAGGTCGTAAAATTAATTTGCAACTTTATGGTTCTGGAAGAAGTATCAAAGATTTTAATGGAACCGCTTCGCAATTTCAAAACGCAATTGTGCTCCAGCTAATGGGCTGTGCGCTGACTTTTAGTCAACAACATAATCCATCTCTATCCTTCCCTATTATGAAACTAGCCAAAGATAACTTTTATAAATGGGTATATCTTTCACAAGTGCCTAGGGATAGGGATATATGTCATTTTCTAATCGAGATACACGATACGTTAGAAGGTAGATTTGAAAATATTTTAAAGCAAAAAAACCCAGGGACACAAAGCCAAATTACATTAGAAAGCAATAACAAGGCGCTTTTCTCCTACCAACAAGAACTTAGTAAGGTTGATGATTTTAGGAAATCCGCTGGTAATAAAGTTTTAGGTGAATTACCATTTCAGCAAATTGAAGGGGATGAAGAAGATCGAAATAAGGGCGAGGCTATTTTCAAAGAAATTGAGTCAATGTATCGTTTCGAGCATAGCGAATACGATTTGTACTCTCCCTACGAAAAACAGCAAAATACTTATAATAATAATCCTGCTCACTCTTCCTATGCTGAACAGCAACAAAATACTTATAATATTAATCCTGCTCACTCTTCCTATGCTGAACAGCAGCAAAATACTTATAACAATAATTCTGCTCACTCTTCCTATGCTGAACAGCAGCAAAATACTTATAACAATAATCCTGCTCGCTCTTCCTATGCTGAACAGCAGCAAAATATTTAATAATAATAATCCTGCTCGGAATAAAGAATTATCTGCTAGTAATTTGGTAAGCGATGATAACATTTCAAACAATGATAGTCTTTCTTTACTAAATTAACAAAAATAACATTGATTTAACCTGTATATTTTTGTTATTTAGGGTTTGCTTAGGTAATTTACTTAAATGTTTCAAGGAAGTGATAGCATGAAGATAATTTCATCTTTTAATCTTTCAAAGAAAATGTGTTTGTCAAATGCCAATTAAAAATCAATTTATTGTCTTCATTTTTTATTCTGTTAATTAAAAACATAATGTATAAAAAATATTGGACCTAACGTAAGAAATATTTTATGATATATTCGGTATATGAGGAATATATTAATAAACATATTTTCAATATTTTATTATGCGGCTCAGTTGTTAATATTTTTATAATTGTGTAATTGCGCGTTTTTTAATGAAAAAAAAATCTAAGTACAAAAAAAAACTTGAAAACAAATCCAAAAAACGTATCTGTATATTTTTTTATTTTATATTTTTAACAATACTTTTATTCCAAATTCATATTTTTTTTTTAATATTTCTTTAGCGAAAACAGTATTTTTTAATGAAATAAAGAATTTATTAATGAAATAAAGTACTTTTTAACGAAAATATAATATTTTTTAACAAAATAAGTTATTTTTCGAAAATTATAAAACGCACCAGTGGTGTCGAACACCGTATCACGTGATATTATTTCATAGTATTACATAATTATTTATTTTACACCGGCAACGCGTTCCTTTGTTTTTCTTGGTTTGGGAATGTTACTAACGTTCCCTTTTAGTATAAATATCATTACCTAAACAATTATAAAGTGTTTAATTAAAACAAAATTTAAATTATATAATAATGGTTAATAGACTTGACCCTTGATAAAGGTAAAAGAATGTAAGATGAATATTTAATACAAATTAGATTATTCTTAAAAATTTTTAATAGCTTTCAAATAGCACCAAGGTAAATAATAAAATCTCAGGTAGTAAAAATATTACTTTTTTTGTTGGATTAAATATTGTAATATACAAATTTCGATGAATTTGGTATAATTAATCCTCTAATAATCTAAAATCAATTTATAATTGATTTGTCCTTAGATCTTGATTTATTCCATAATGTTTACCGATAAACTTTCATAGTAAATAAATTTATGATCTAGTATCATGCATAATGGTAATAAATAATTAATCGTTGATTTCCACTAATTGATTTTTTTATTGTTGGTATAAATCTTAATAATTTTATAAATAAGCAGGTAATTTTAAATTTTTTTTATTGTACAAAATTTTTTTATTCTATGATAAGGTAATTGCCTACTAATAATCATGGAATAAAATATTATGTTGAAAATTATTCTTTTTGAATTTTAAAAATTTTTTTTCGTGAATTGTTATATAAACTAAATTTCATTTTTTAAATACAGTATATGTATTGTCCCTTTATCTTTAATAGAAGTAGTATACACATAAAAATTAGAGTAAATTTACATAGTAAGTCAAATAACTTAATACCATGAAAATTCTGATTATTGTTTGAGAAATCAAAATTTTCTTTTTTGTAAGTAAATGGTTTATAATAAATAATGAGGATATCTTCTAGCAAGAAAATATTTCTTAAAAAGAACATGTCTTTGAAAGTTTCTGGAACATTTGCAACAAATAACTCATATCAGGATATAACCATTATTTTTGCTGTTACACTCAAATCGAACATAAAAGATAATATCATAACAAGAAATAGATTGTATCGTGAAATATATATACCATTTTAATAAGTTGAAAGTTTGAATACATTGGAAGCTTATGTTTTATGCATTAAAATTCTACGTTAAATTAAGATATAAATTTACTGTATAATATGTAGTAAATGTTTTTTTATAAGTAAAATAAGTCTTAAACTTGAGATAAATTTTATAAAACAATTGTTAGATAATGTTTTATAACCAACATTTATTTCAAATTATATATGTAAAAACATTATTTCTATTGTAGGAAGATTCAAACGAAATTCTTGCAATTAGACAGATAGAATATGCGCAATAAATGCAATAAATGAGTTTATTTAATGAATTCTATGTAAATGGATTAATTATATTTTTCTCTAGAGTGATTTAACGATACATATATAATAAACATAGATAGATTAATGACCAAATATGTTACTGTACTGTACATAAATTATGGTTTAATTATTATATGTAAACTGTAGAAATGTTTTTATAAGTTTATTCTCATTATAGTAGTTTTGGTTTTTTTAAAAAAATACAAAAATACAACATATTTTGGATTAAATAATATCATGCAAATATCCTGATAAAACATTACAGATAAATCAACAGTCTCTTAGAGTCAGATTTTGTATATTCTCGAATTTCAAATATTCTTATTGCAAACCATCTCTTAATGAGTAAAATCAAAGAGTTAGTTAATTAAAAATTGGAGGATGCTTAAAGTCGTTTAGCAACAGCCATTATTTTCATTATTTTTAAAATCTTTGAACCCATAAATATCTAAATAGTAAAAAAAACTTATACTAAGATGTTTATATATTAATAAAAGTTAGAATGTATAGAGAATGGTAAGATATGATAACCATTAACGGATTCTCATCAACTTCCAATAGAACCCCGAGTCAATCGAGCCATATATATAGGTCAGGGAGATCGGCACACATTTATAACTCTACGCATTTCTCAGGGCCGGCACTATGTAATGCTGGTCGGAATTATCCACAAATGGAAGCAATCTACATGATTTTGGCTCATTCTAAGCAAATAACCAGGACCTGACCTTTCTATGTATAACTTGGGGTCCTCTTCCAACAGTAAAGTATAATATTTAGCATATTTACCAAATTCTAATATGAGTTGACTTCAAACATTTTGATAGATTTAAAGATAACTAAATTTTTTTTTTTGTAAACTGAAAAATTAAGCAGGGCTTAGAATTAAACAGGCTTAGAATTGAGTAGAGCTTAGAATTAAACAATTCTTGGCTTTTTGCAAGACTTAGTATTAAACTGGATAAGGCTAAGCCAAGGCTAAGGCTTAGAATTGGATAGGGCTTAGGATTAAACTTAATAGGGCTTAAAAAATCTGAACAAGGCTTATTATAAATAGTACAAGCACTTTGCATATCAGATAAATTTTTTAAAAAAATATTGAACATAATGAAATTTGTAGCAATTTAAGTGAATTAATTATAAAATGTTTTTGCTCATTTATTTCATTTATTTCCACTGAGTACTACTAATTGAATATAATATGATGTTATAATTGGGAACTACAAAAATAATTAAACTGATTTTAGAATTTAGACTTACCAATAAGATTATTGATAAAAATTGAATCATTGGGCATTAATCTCAAAACTGAAAGAATTTACTGTAAAAAAAAGGGTAGATAACCTAAAATGAAAAAATAGATCTTTAACAAGAATTAAACAACTACAATGAGTCAAAACATCAACTCTAGGGGAATGATAAAAATTATCATTAGAATTCGTTATTAAATTCTTTTCATAAAAGGCAATACCATAATATATTAAACAATAAACATGTAAAAAAGACTAGAAAAAGATCCCAATTTTTTTCATTTTTCCTCATTGTTCTTTTAAAACATCATTATTTTAAAATCTTCAAAATTACAAATTTTTTTACATTGAAGTTGAGTGCAGCCAAGGATATTAACGATTCTACTAAAGCTTATACAAGATATAAATGAGTGTCAGAGGTTTATAAATATGTGCCGAAAGGTAGTTACCTTTCGATTTCAGTGCCTAATAGTTATTGGCGTATAATTCATAAAGGAAATTTTAATTCTATTATTGAATCTTGGAAGGGAAAGGAATGAAACGTACATTTCATTTAAAACCAAATTTGGTTTGTTAAAAAACAAAAATGTCAAAATGATGACACTGCAAGACTAAAAACATTAAGCAGGATTATTAAAATTCAGGTTCTGTGACTTAAATTAAGATGAAATCAAAACTACCTGCACAACTATACATACATAGTTGATAGAAGAAATAACTTTATCAGATTTATTACATACAACAGTAATATCTTCTAAAACTAAATCATTTTGAAGATTTTCTTGAGCATGTCATGAACATTTTGATGTATGCCATTTTCCAAACATGCAGGTTTATTAAAAAGCAAAAATGTCAAAATGATGACACTGCAAGACTAAAATCATTAAGCAGGATTATTGTCTTAACCTGATATCACAACTACCTGCAAAATATACATAGTTGATAAAAGAAACAATTTTTATCAACTTTATTAACAACAGCAAAATCTTCTAAAACTAAATCATTTTAATATTTTAGAGTTTTATACAGATGGTTCTCTTCTAAAAGATAATTCATCCGGTCATGCCAAAATATTAAAGAGATTTACACTGGACTAGATAATCATAATCAGAAATATTTAAAATGTTTATTGAAGAATTTCAGGATTTGGAAAGTATTAAAATTAATATTTCTGGAAGTTCAAATGAAAAAGAATTATTTGAAATTATCAAAGATTGTCCATGATGGATTTTGGATGGATTTTTACAACTGATTATCATTAGATATTAAAATATAATGGTTCTATGACTCAATAGGCTAGTTTTACCAAGGCTGAAATAGTAGAGATTCTTACTGCTCTTATCATTTGTCCTTCTGATAGTAAAGTTAATATTTTCACAGACTCTGCCTGTGTAATTAGCACCTTTAAAAACTCCAATTCAAATTTCTCCTTATAGAATCCCTAATCAAAATAGTCATCTGTCATTTAATAATTATATTATTAACAATTATGACATTAGAAAGTCACTTGAAAGACTCATTAATTATAGAATGTTAGAACATCATATTAGCCACAAAAATTTAACACAACTAAAAGACTTTACGTTAGATCATATAATAAACTGTGAATACTCACAATATTGGATAAAATTAAACCCTTTTGACAGTTCTACCAACCTCAAATTCAGCAAAATAGTTGGATGGCGTATAAAAAATTCTAACTACCAACTTCTGATGCTAGATATTCAGTTCTTAATAGAAATTATCCTGATCTTCTAAATTGCTTCGACACCTGTTTCTTTATAATAATACTCAAGAAACCAATTATCACCTATGGATGTGCCCTGACGTTATAACAAAACTTTCTGATTTTTGAAAAACATTATTCTACTTTCAAGATCTTAATTTCCTCCAACACTGACAAATACTCAGCCTTATACAACAACATGATCAGATTTTGCCACGTCTTTTGCTGGATAACCAATCCTCCAACTTTTATTTTGGAAGCCCCCAAACTTCATTGTATCCTACTTAACTTAATCTCTAAAGAATTAATTCACCATTTTAAAGCAACCAGAATTAACAAAACTTTGACAAAAAAATTATTAGCAACCTTCCTGTTTGATCTACACCAGGACATTTACAAGACCATTTTTCCATTCTTTGGAAAGAATGTCACATAATATAACCAAAAATTCATTCTCATCTTACCATCATGATAAAAGACGAAAAGACACATCAAAACCTCAAAAAAATAGTCGTTCTAATTTATAACACATTCACGGCTATCTCAATCCCTTTAATGATGCAAGATGAGCACATGATAACTCAATCTTATAGATTTATCTAGCAAGTTTGAATTTCCTCCATAACCTACCTTGGCTATCATCTTTAAATATTGATTTATCATCATCTAATTTTACACATTCTGTGCATTCTAATACTGTAGATTTATTTTATTTTTTAATATAGTCCCTTTGATATTATATATAGATTTTTTCTTTTTTGTTTTTTGTAGATTATCTCAGTATTTTTTTAGTGCGTTCATTTTCTCAGTAGCGGAGTTTTACTGTACCATCGAAGGGTGAGGTCCAGGTGCTGGGATGAATATCGATATTCCATCTGCATAGAACCCTCTTTGTATTTTTTTTTGTGTACATACGGTTGTTTTTGGGATGGATCCCAATAACCACTCTTTAAGAAATAAAATAAATAAAATAAATATTTTCCTGTTGATCCATATCCGAATGGCAGATACTATTTTGATCTGGATATTATCCAACAGATGATCCTATCCTCTACATCTCGATGGTATGTATTCGGACATATGTGGTAGATTTTTATCTTCAAATTATAATGCTGATGGATATCCGCACTCGGCACTGTCTGTATCTCCGGGTGAGATAGACGTAAACCAATCATAGATCCCATGTCAGCTAAATTCACTAGTTCTAGAAAACTGGTGGATAGGAATTCTCATCAGATTTTCGTTTTTCATTTAAAGTGTCGATATCTTTGTCATTTAATTTGATAGTAATCATAATCCTCAATGTTTTTATTTAATGTATTATATTTCTTGGTAATATAGTGTGAAATCTCTAAATACATATAAATTCCTAAAAAACAAATATCTTGTTAATGTAAAAATTCTAACTGATAATTTAAATAGATATGACCTTCAACTTTAAAATTATCAGATGTTTTTACTTTTCTAAATTGCCGTTTAAAATTCATAATTTCAATGTAAATCTAAATTATAAGAAAAAATAACAAATACCATTATGAATTAAATTTTATTGCAAGTACATGCTCAGACTTACATAATAAAGCATGAAATTCAATTTGCAATCAATGGAAATTCATAAAAAAGCTGGAAAATTGTCGGATATTCATCGTCATATTACGTCATAAGACATCATATCACGTGATTATAAATCTTGATTTCTGATTGGTTCATATTAGTATTATTATAAAATATAATAAATTAATCCTTTTGAAAATGATTTTTTATTCCATAAATGTATCATATTCACGGAATTTATAACATCAAAGACGTGGAGACTATCCGATTTTTAGTTATTTGCCGTAAATGTATCATATTCACGGAGTAGATAAAATTTATAAAATTCAGTCATATGATCGGAATTTTAAGCTCTGTCGGCTATTATGTAGGTTCTGTACTGCAGTGTAACTATTTCAAATTATAATTTTGAAAAAATAACAAAATACCCGAAAAATTCCGTAAAAACTCCGTAGATCTGCCGCATGATCGCCAGCGAATAAAAATACGAAATTCTCTTTCTGCTCGGCGCTATGAACATGTGGTGGAACGTAAACATTCATTCTGAATGAATAAAGTTATAGTGAAACATTTTTTTTTTTTTTTCATTAATTGTTTTTTGAGCAAAATTTGGTGGTCTATAACTAATTATATGTATTAATAAAAGCGAAACTTTGGTAAAGCATATTAATTCTTGTAACAAATAATCATTTTTAAAAATCATAAATCATAATTTATTTCAAAATCTTAATGAACGCACTAATATAATTTAAGTCATTATACGATACCTAATAATTTCTTATAATCTTAAAATAAAAAAAAAAAACATAAAAAAATAAAGGACAAATGTTGTGGAGGGAATAAGAAAATAAAGATCATTTAAAATATATAGTATGGTTTACTGAAATGCGTCTTCATTAATGTATAATTTAAACATTTCATCAGCTATTCTATTATCTTCATTTTTATGTGATGCAGGCGAAATATTTTCATGATTTTTATTCAAATGATTGTTATTAGCGATTTTCCTGTTATTACGGCAGTTATCATCAAAAATTATTTTTAATTCATCCATCGAGTTATATTGAGGAAGAATTACCGGTTGTTGCGTTTGTGAAGCGATAGATTTAATAATTCTTTGATTGTCGGCGTATAGAATGAAAGAGTTTTTAAAATCATTCGATGAAGAATTCCAGATCTCTCCTGCTTTAACGGCTTTCTCTTTAGGCGATAATTTTGGGAATTCTTCATCTAGTATCTTTTTATAAAAAGAATAAAAGATTATATAACCATTCGCTGATTTCGGCATATTTGAATAAAAAAGTAAATAAAAGGATGCTAAGAGAATGAACTTTCAAGCATCTTCTTATATACAGTTAAGAGCAGTAAAACGCTCATTATATTCCATAAGTAAAATTTCGAAAGAAGAAGTGAAACAAACAATGCTGGAATTAATAAAATCATTTTTGTAATATAAAAATAGAAAACTAAAAAGAAATTTTGTTCAAAAAGAATCATATCCTAGAATTAAATTTTTTAATCAAAGAAATTTATCCATGAAAATTTTTTATCAACTTTCAGTTTACTAAAAGTGGCTCCTTCCTCTTTTACGTTTTAATAATTTAACAAATTATCTCCGGATTCCGACCAAATTTGGTTATGCTTAATGTTAACAAATTTGGAAAGGTTCAAATTATTTACTAGCGAATAAAGGAAATTGAATTGAGGCGTACTTAAAGTTTCCTTAATTTTTTTTTATACCAGAATATTTTGTTCAAGTTGGTGAAACCATTATCAAAGTTATGGAAATAATGAACAATGTGTAGTTTAAATTGTGATCAACTAATTACACACGTGAATTATGAAAAGCCACGACAAGAATGGTAAATCTAAGCCACATTAAATTTAAACTTCGCCTCGTGCCGATCAGGAATTTCGATTATTGTTTGTTTATCTTTTTTAGATATTGCACTGACGGTTAATTTCGTCGATATATATTCTCTTAATTTTGTGTGGAGATTATGGAACCAGACAAAGAAAAAAAAAATGTATTTAATTTGTTTATTTCACATTTTAGGATTTTATTTCTTTTTAAATTATTTTCTTTTATATATAAGGCATTGTTGTATTAAAATCTAGCTTGTTAATTATCTCTTTTTATCTAATCTTGTTTGTTAACGTAGAAAGAATTCCGTGTATTTCGTAAGGAATCGTAAATTACGTGCTTTGATGTCATTAACTTGTTTTAACGTTCATACGGACGGCTTAATTCCGATTTTTGTTTTCGAAAAAAAAAATGTGTTATGTTAAAAAAGAAAAATCCACCTTTCATCTTATGTTCTCTTTAGAAGTGAGTTTGCATCTAAGTCGTAATCCTTTTTATTATTAATTGAACCCACACAAATATATATAGAGATGTTTAGTTCTTGGTTTTACAAAAAAAAAAGTCCTAATATCAATTAAATAATCATAATATTTCAGTATTGAACTTTTCTTAAACCTTGAAAATAATGCCGCGCCGTAAATCACAAAAGTCTATCAAAAAAATGTTATCTAACAAATCTCCGAGAATTCAAAATCCTTGGATATCGTATTCAAATTATTTTTACAAGCAGCTTCGAAAAGAAAATCAAAAAATCAAACGTACGGATGCCGCAAAGTTGGCTAGTGTTGCATGGAAATCAATGTCAGCCGAACAAAAATATCCATGGTATCATTCATCTAATCTAAAGAAGATAGAAGGACTATTAAATTTATCCAATGTAAAATTGCTTGAATCTACGTATGATAATCAATTTATTATTGAAGATGTTTCATTAATGTCAATGAATCAAGCAAGAAAGAATAATTCAACGGAGGAAGATCATTGTTTAAATAGTATGATTCCTTCAGCTGCGAGTCAACCGATCAAAAACAAGAATGAAGAAAATTTTCTATCTACGTATGATAATCAATTTATCATTAAAGATGCTTCATTAATGTCATCGAATCAGGTAGAAATGAATAATTTAATGGAAGATCATTATTTAAATAGTGTGATTCCTTCTGTTGCGAGTCAACCGATTGACGAAGAGAAAAATGAGAATGAAGACACTTTTTCATTATTAAATTTATCCAACGTTGAATTCGAATATACGTATGATAATGTCATTGATGTTTCACTGATGTCAATGAACCAAACAAGAATGAATACTTTGACGGAGGAAGTTCATTGTTTAAATAATATGATTCCTTCAGTTGCGAGTCAACCGATTGACGAATCACTCGAATATACTTATGATAATCAATTTATCATTGAAAATGTCTCGCTAATGTCAATGAATCAGGTAGAAATGAATAATTTAATGGAAGATCATTATTTAAATAGTGTCATTCCTTCATTTGCAAGTCAACCGATTGACGAGAAAAATGAGTTTCCATTATTAAATTTAGGATTACTCGAATCTACGTATGATAATCAATTTATCATTGAAGATGTTCCACTAATGCCAATGAATCAAGCAACAATGAATAATCCAATAGAGGAAGATCATTTTTTAAATGGTGTGATTCCATCATTTGTGAATCAACCGATTTACGAGAGGAAAAATAAAATTGAAGAAATTTCTCCATTACATCTTACGTATGATAATCAATTTATCATTGAGGATGTTTCACTAATGTCAGTTGCGAGTCAACCGATTTACGAGGAGAAAAATAAAGATGAAGTAAACGATACAGATGATGTTATTGGTTCAAAAATGTTTGATTTCGTAAATTAGGATATGCTTTTGAACAATTAGATATTTAATAAATATTCATGTAAATATATACTTCGGTATTTAAGTATGCTTAGCGCCTTAATACCTATATAATATTGATGAATACAATAATTTTAAAATTTAATTAGCTCTATAATAAACAACAATCAAATTATTAAATGTTTGCGAAATTTAGATATAAGTTATATACCTAAGTAAAATTTCTAAGATTGTAAGATATGAATTCTAAGAGTGTCTCTAGTTGATATATTCTAGACAGAATTATCCAATGTAAATTAAATTCAGCTTTTTTAAATTACATTTTTTTTTTCGCTTAATTATTAACTTTGTGTAATTTTCAACATAATAAATAATTATGGTTTGATAAGCAAACTATTATTAAAACATCTTAATAATTCTACAATATCATACATAAACATTATATTCTGTTCATTTCATTAATAATTTCTTTAAATCAGTAGTTTGAAATAGTATAGTATCTACTACCAATTATAGCATTGTTTGGAAAAATTTTTTTGGATTCCTTTATTCTTATTTGTAGATAAAAATAGATGTCAATCGGGAACATTCCATTTGTGATACTTATTATGGCACAGCACCGCACCGCCTATACTGTATTATGCTATTTTCTAGCCCAGAATAATAATTATAATCATTATTGTGCTGATCATGTATCATTTTTTGTTAAGCACATTTTATATATAGTTAATATTAGAGACAAATTTGACATTTAATCAAGTAGAAATGATAGGAATTTTTGGCACATAACCATTTATGAATTTATTTGTTTATTCATTTATTTTTTTCGTTATTGTTTGTTTGTTTATTAATGAAATTGTTTTAAAAATAGATTTTTTTTGTTAGCGTGTGATACACTACTTGGACAAAAGTAATCGGAAATTGTACATAATATTAATACCTGAAATTTAATCAATCAAATCCAGTAAGTATAAGTATTGATTTTCATATTGCTGGCTTACATACTGTATTACTATGTCGACTGTGTAAAATAATTGTAAAAAAAAGGAAAAACTAAATTGTAAAAAATTTACACTATTTTAAAATTGTACGAATGATTGTAAATTCTTTTACCATTTAAAACTTATTGCTTAATAAATAATTAATATAAATTTTCGTATCTTAAAAAAAAAAAAATAACAATGCCATCTGCTTGTTTAATTTTAGATAGCTATAATACAAATGTTTTTTTTTTACTACTAATTTTTGTAGTTATATGAAGATTAGTAACGTAAAATTATACATATGTATTTCTTAGAGTTTACTTTATCACATATTGAAATTTTAATTATTATTATTATGTACGTTTTTGAGCAAATTAATCAAAATTAGGGCGCCCAACGCTTTTGTCCAAATAGTAATTTGATCAAAAAATTTTTAAAAATTTTTAGATATATATTTTATCAACAAAATAAGCTGGAAAGTTTCGAATTGAATTTAAATTTAGACAAAATTCAGTTTGCGAACTTATATTATGAAAAAAGTGCGTGCGGACTTTATTGGAAAATGCTTAGAAACTTACTGTGAATAATTTAGACAAAATTTTCAATTTTTTTCAATAAGCCATTTATCTTATTTTAGCTCTGAAGATGTAGAGTTGCTATTAAGGTTGGTGAAGAAACAGCACATTCCATGTATGAAGAAATAGCCTTCTCAGCAGACCAAAAAGGCGAATTACGAGACTTACTGCGGGAGGCGCAGCAAATGAACAAAGAATATGCCTACCAACATCGTAGAAAGATGAAAAGATAGAAAGATTAACAAATAAATTAATGCTTAGACATAAAAATGAAACGATACAACGATCAGCCATATGTTTCCGAAAATTTTTGTCCGACGTCGTGACTCGTGAGACCTACTAATATATGATATACCTAAAATATGATTAAAAATGATATAATGACGGCTTTAAAGAATTTGGCTACGTGACATGGCTTAGAGTTAAATATTCATTCAAATAAACCACCTCTCGCAAACCCACCCTCCTTTAGAAAAAAGCATCAAGAAGCGTCTACTCTAATAATCAAAATGTCGATAAATACTTTGATTGTTAAAAGCTTGAATCATCATCAGCTAATCGATTTGGCAAGAATGTGATTCAACCTCATTATACGAGACTAATTAAACGTGATTGAAATTTTTGATCGATGATCACGTAATAATTTTAGGTCAGTTTGAGTATGAAAAACTTCTTGAGCACAATAGTATACTGTGATCGTCAGCACATTCATAAGAAAATTTTCATTCTCCTTTGATTAAGGTCATAAAGATAGAAGTTAAACACACTCAGAGCCTTTGATCTGACAAAATAATGATTAAGACTGTCCTTACCTTTTATATATTCTAATTTTCTTTCCAAATCCTAGAATTTGGGAACTCATCACCTCGAGTTTCACGAATACGAGTTCAAGCTCTAGCTTATTGAAATCACTAAAAATATAGAAATCAAATTTTCATCATCACATCCCTCTTTAATTCAAACACGAAAACAGGTAGTGTACTGTACATTCTTGAATCTTGATTAATTAAATAATTACGACTTACAATGCAATTTAATTCCATAACCACCAAAAAATCATGTTATCTTGCGCGCATTGTGATCAGAGTTGCTAGCTTGGTCGTTAACACTTAGAATCATACCTAATCTAGATAATTCAATAACAAACTTCTCAGCAAATTTAATAACGGTACAAATCAAGCCTGAAAATCATTTAAATACAAAGAAAATGAGTGATGAGAAATAAATATTGACAACTTGGAAGATTTGATGGATAATTACTTGAATATATCCGGTTCATCATCAAAATAATTTGTGTATCTTAAAACGTTGAACATTGAAAAAAATGTCCTGGCATAACAGCGAATTAGTATTAGTATTGAACAGGTTCTTCCTACAGAGATTTCTAAATACTTGCTAAGCCATAAACGAAATTGGCTTTAAAAAGGCTAAACTTGCCATAGATCAGCATTCGAACATCAAAAATCATATTATTTATGTGCATAAACGAACAAATTTCTGAAAGAATGAGATGTATACCTTATTTAAAATAATCAATCATACTGGAATCCAACATACGTAATTGATTATATAATCATCGTTATATATATATATATATACCCTTAGACGATATTGCTTCAAATTAAAAAAACCCACGAATGTTTGACATATCATCTAAGAATAGTTTTTATTTACACTCTCATCGCTTCATATACAGTACATCAAAAGTAGGTAGACACCTCATTCTACTTTGTTAAGGTACAAATTCATTATCAATACTTGAATTAGAAAACAACACGTTTGCTTCCAAATATGAGAATAGACACAGAATTTATAATACACACCTTCAAGTGCTTTCCTTCTGATCTATACTTTCAAGATCACGTTCGCTCATTAAACATATTTGATGATGATCGGACATCTAAAATAGAGGTCATAGATTGTTTATGATAAATAATAAAACAATTACCAATGTAGAAATGTCACGCATAATTTTCTTTCCAGATCTGAACAACCATCTATACCATTTAATAACAAAAGAGTATTCATACTATTCGTTTCCTATGAACTTATCGGTCGGAGCTATTGTAGAATCACGGGAAGTATCTGCATTACCGTATATAACAAGTAAAGCATCTTAATAGTCTCACATATGCACATTATTAAAGAAAAAAAAATTAAAAAACTTACAAAAACTTTATTGCGCTGTAAAATCCAACAAGTTGAACTGATGATGCGTCTTTTCAGAAATAGTTTGAATATTTTTGATGAGACATATTAATTGTAATTTAAAGTCATTTAAAATCAATAAATATTTTTTTTTTCAGCAGTGATAAATTTTCAAACTGGTTTTTTTATCAAGCCCATTGTAGTCTTCATCTATCTACGTAAAAAGAGCAATCACGTCATCCTTCCGCATATCTTGAGTTTCTGAGGGCCTATGATTATCAATATGTGTTACGTAACAAGTTGTCCCATTAAATGCTCTTGGATTATTCTAGATGCTGACGCTTGAGATAATGAGGCGTAAAGTCAAGAGAATTTGCTGGAAATTTTTTTTTTAAAGATAATAAGTACGTAATAATGTGCAATAATAATCAGACATAATATTAAGAAAATGCGTACATTAATATTTCATTATTGAACTGCTATCGAAGGTTAATGAATAAATGCATTCACGTAAATAGAGTTCAAGTAATTTAGGAAAATAACATTAGACCGAATCCGCGATGATCGATTTTTCACGGTACTCCAGGACTATAAATAGGTCAGGGGAGATCGGTACACATTTACTATTAGCTCTACGCATTTCTTCAGGGCCGGCACTATGTAATGCTGGTCGGGGCATTATCACAAATGGAAGCGATCTACAGGACCTGACCTTTCTATGTATAGCTCGGGTCCTGGTACTCCCCAAAAAATATTACTTGGACAACCATAAATTTCAAATGATATTTCGCAATTTACACTCCGAAAAAGTTTGTTTTTATTTTTATTTTTATTTTTGTTACATTACATAATCAATAATTCCAAAAAAGGCGGTAAGGCTGTTTTTATTTTTTTTTTTTTGTTACAAAGGGAATAAATTCCGGAGATTTTTGTATGCATAGATATTATAGATATTTCCTATCATAGTTGTTCATTAAAATTTGAAGGGAATCGTATGGTTGCTTAAATTTATGTCAATAAGTCACACAAGTACGAAGTCCAATTATTCCTTTGTAAAATTGTACTTATTTGGATTCTTTATAATACCATATGCATAAGATGCATATGAATTATAATCGATTTGGTTTATCATTTAAACAGTATTTCTCAAGCTACAGTAACCAAATTAAAAAGGAAAAAGTATAACCCCTGTATATGATATTTATAATGATATGAATTTATATAGTATATTTGTATTCCACGATAACGATATATCGATTATAGAACAAATTAAATCAAATTGGTTTAATCATACACTTTTTTTACGAAAACAAAATATGAAAATTTTTTCATTAGGCTTAAATAACCATTTAAATTATTAAGCGCAGTTGATTGTCTGAAGTCTGATCTTACATACTGATTATCTCTTTATGAATTAAATTTTTTCGATTCGTAAGTCTTTTCCGATTTTTCCTTAAAAAAAAATAGAATGGAATCGATCTTAATCATTTTTTTCCATGAAACAAATTATGGAAATTTTTCTATTAAGTTAAGCAACTATTTCGTCATTCATTAAGTTCAATAACACTTTCAAATGTCCCGTTAAAGAAAGAATAAACCAAAAAATTTTTAATTCTTTGTAACAACCCTTAAAAAGTTAATCATTGCGATAATTAATAATATTAGAATTTTTTTGTATAAAAATAGGACGAAAAAATTGACCCAGCGATATCATTTACTTTAGAGTACATACTGTACACTATAAATCGTAAGTCTTCATATATAAAAACATACAGTATTTCCTAGAAAATGCAAAATATGACAGCTGATGATGAGGATATTCTCACTTTCAACTGTATCTTTCTTCCCACGAGATACTATCAGAGTGATATCTCAGAACTTGCAAGACATTCTAAAAATGAAAGATTAACAAACCTCAAATTAGTAGCTAATATTACCAAACATCCGCCTGATGATGGCTATTATATAGCTGAACAATATGATGTCATCGTGCTTAAGGCTAATAAAAAAGACGCGGTTGATGTACTTAGGCATCAAGTTACGAAAAGGCTGAAACCTTTGTTTAATATTTCTTCCAGCACATTACGTCTTTTTATGCTTAAATATGATACAAGTATCTATGAAGTCATCAATACTTATAATAGCATGGTCCCTGATGCAACCGAAGTTAAAGATAACTCGGATGAAAACAAAAATGACTCAGATGAGTCAGTCAGCACAGACAGTAAAACATCCCAAGGAAGCATGACCCCTGATACAACCGAAGTCGAAGGTAACCCGAATAAAAGCAACTTAAATGACTCAGTCAATTCAGACAATAAAACAATCCAAGAGGCAATCGACAAATTTGACAAATTACACAAATTACCCAATGCCAACCGCAACGTACGTAACCGAGTCAACCGAGTTAACCCAGACAATCAAGCTAATCCTTTGAAATCGAGAGAAATGAAACCATACGAAAAGATTGGTTATTATTTTGACAAAAATGGTCGGACTAATGATATTCAAATCATTGCTAGTGATGATAAATATGATCCATACAATACAGGAAAAAAATTCTTAGAAGTTCAGGAATATTGATTCAAATTAGTAGATGTTAATTATGTTAATTATAACATATTGTGTTTTTTCTACTTGTTCATTTTAATATTATTTATCTTCCACTTCTGAAATAATAAAGTTTATAATAAGTCACAGATCTTTGATTCTAAAATGTCATAAAATGTCGAAATTTTAAGTTGAAATTGATAAAGTGTCGCATCACTTTTGCTTAATAAAAGAAACTTATTAAATGAATAATAATAAACGAACGAAACTATTGCTTTGAAAACAAAGTTAATCATATTTAATCGGTAAATTTTTTAATTTTTTAATCAAAGTCTTTAAGATGCGAATGCAAAAACTTTATTTGTAGTATTAAACGATTAAGAAAAATAATTAAATTATGTAATATTGTACATTACCAATAAATACAGTATACTATGACTACAAAATCCTTTTAAAGCAAAAACAAAATACTTTTGTATTGATAGTTGAATTTTTAAATTATATTATATTATTAATTGAATCCAGAGTTCACATCCGTTATTCGTTAAAAAATATTTACGGATATTGTAATTCGGGTCATTTTATAATGCTGGCCAGAATTCCTTTTTTATTTTTTATTTTTTTTTAGAAAAATATTTTGTGTGGAACCGATAAATAATTCTGCCCGAATTACTATGCATGGGGTGTACCATAAAACTTATGTATAAAAGTTTATTATTATTAGAGATTTTTTTTGACGATCATTATAATTTATAGTAATCCCTGTTAAAATTCACACGTCCATAACTCTAGATTCTACTTATTGTTTTCATCCAATTTCTGTGAGAACGCTCCAAATAGTTGTTTTTTTCATATGATACCTCCCTTTTCAAAAAAATAAATAAATAAATAATTCAAGCCTTTTTAGTTTTTTTAGATACTTCTCAATAAGAAAAAAATGATTTTCTTTAGTATTTTCAAAAAGCGAGGTATTACTAGTGCTCCGCAAAATTCGGGTCTAACCCGGATAATTCAACCTGAGTGAATTTTAAATTGGGTCTGTACTAACAATTTTAATAACCCGTGACCCGCATGACCCTACCCGTCGGGTCGGGTTATTCATTTCCTTGACTCGGGTTTTGACCCGAATTAGACTCGGATAATCATTAAAATCACTGATCACATATTGATTACGCGTTAATATTAATTAATTTTATATAATTTTGTTAGATGAATGAGGTAGTATAGCGAAAATTGCTAAAGACACCTTGCAATTACAGATATGTGTATGAATTATTATTAATTATTAATATTACATTAGCTAATAAGTTTATTTTGATAATTAATAAAGCAACCAGCGTTCCAGTAGAAAGAGTATTTGCCGGTGGAACCGATTTGATAGCTGCAAAAAGATGTAGTCTTAAAGCAGATACAATTAGAGCTGTCTCTTATACACATCTAGATGTGTATAAGAGACAGGGTTAAAATCGGATCATTTCTATTTTTGCCGGGTCGAGTCGGATATATTCTCCAAACCCGACCGAATCCGACCCGGTAGGAGCACTAGGTATTACGCTGTCTCTTATACACATCTAGATGTGTATAAGAGACAGGTATGAGCATCTTTTAGATCAATTACCTTGCGTTATTGAAGAAATTATGGTTGAAAAAATATTTTTGATATATTACTAAGCATACAGCAATGAAAATTACTAAAATTTCGGGTTTAACCCGGGTTATTCGAATTAAATATACTCGGGTCGGGTTAAAATCGGATCATTTCTATTTTTGCCGGGTCGAGTCGGATATATTCTCCAAACCCGACCGAATCCGACCCGGTAGGAGCACTAGGTATTACGTTATTCTTTGGGTACTCGTGTATTTGTCTAATCTTTCACTATTGCATAAAGACTAATAATAATGCATGGTTTATTGAATTTTTAAAATTTCGGAAATTTTAATGGCTTCTATTTCAAAGTGTGCGCAGATAAATTACTTTCCGAGATGTAATTTATTAATATCAGAAAATAAAGTTAAAATATCTGAATGAATCTAAGATATCCGGTATTCAATTCATAACCGGCAAAACTAAACTAATTAGTTGATGGTACACCCAACGTGATATGACCTAGAGTTAAATATTAATTCAAGTATCAAATAGAGCAAAAATTCACTTAAATCCACACTTAGATAACTTTACTATCAAAAAGCAGGTTTACAGTAACTAGGCACTTATGAAAATGAAAAAAATTATCTCAAATTCGTATTTGCATGACAATTAATTAAAGAACTAAAGGAAATTACAAGGATGAAGATACGGATAGAATAATAAGCGAAGCAAAATAATATAGGCTGCTTTTGGGAAAAATTTATAATACTTAATCTTATATTTTCCCTAATGAAGACAAAATGCTTGAAAATTCAATTAAAGATGGAACTCACGACGGTCTCCAAGCGAAATCAATTGACGAATTATTTGGAAAAAGATGATTAAAACGAAGTCGATTCATTTGGTCGGCTGTCACGTGACAGTTCTGGCGACAACAGAAGGTATTGAATAACAAAATAAAAAGAAAAGAAGCATCGAAACATTCTTGTGTAGATAATTTCGGAGATCTATATCGAAGATGAAGGGAATGCCAATATTTTAATCCGTGACAAATATTCTGATTTTATTCTTTTTTTATCTCTAATTTATTTTTTTTTTTGTTAAAATTTATTTGTAGTGTTTCATTAGGGCCGGTACTTATCATCATTACGTGGATGTAGGCCATTAGCTACACGTCAGATTGCAGGTATTAAGACCATCCACATAACAGGCGAACCTATACCACGCGGCCTTCCGTATACTACCCCAACCTGTAAATCTCAAGGACCCAAATTCCAGGCCAGCCAATACCCCCATTCATCCTCATCTCGTACTACTATGGTGGCTAGACCAGTATTTATATTAACCCACCCCAGCCTAGGAGTACAAGGGACTTCCAGCGAATACAACGGACAATCATCTAGACACACTTCCATACCACCATCTTAGGTATATTTTTTTTGTTAAAATTTAAAAATTTATAAAAATAAAAATTTAAAATAGTACAATAATTTCAAATATATTAATACAAAATAGGTTATAATATTTTAGTATAACACAAACCATGATTTTATTCAATTTTTGGTGGACTTAAAATACTGCCGCAACGCTAGAGTGCGTTGAGAGGGAATATATGATTTATCATTTATTTAATCAATGTGTAATCATATGTTATGTAACGTGCCTTGAAATATACATAAAATGGCCATGCGTTAGAAAGGGGAAAATTGCCTCTTATGAATAATACCGGTCAAAATTTTATTACCTTTCTAGATATTAGCTAACATTATCTTACATTATCTTAATTCCAGCCCTGCTGAAGAAATGCGTACAACGGACTACTCTTAGACCTGAACTACTCCTGAACTCCTCACGTATATGCATTATATTAAAGTTTTGAGAAATTTGGTAACCCAACTAACCCATGATGATGAAATGTTATTATATTGATATTTATCTCAAAAAAAGGAATCGAATAAAAAGTCATGTCAAAGTCAATCATTTATCGCTCTTCTACCGAATATATATAAACGTAATATTATTGTAAAATTAACAATTATAAAATATTAGTTATAGATAGGCTTTATAAAGGGCATCTTTCGTATCTGACATGATTACTTGATCATGAATTTGTTTATTTTATCGGGGTTAATTTTCAACACTCGAATGAAATAAAACAGAAACAAATTTTTATCCGGTTGCACAAGACTTGTAACATCTAACATACACGATCTTTTAAGAACACAAAATTCTGTTCGTTGACACAGAAAATAATAAAAAGAAAAGAGAAAGATTTATTGTATATTTTGTTTAGAATATAAAGTACGAAAAAAATCTGACCAATAAAATTCTTCAAATCACGTTACCGAAAATCTTTTGGGTTGTGTAAATATTCTACCGCAGTATATGCTATTCACAGTAAACGTCATTAAATCTAAATAGTTTATAAGATGTATCTCTAGTATTATTTATTTATATCCTGAAATAAGATGAAAAGATTTTTTTAGTAATATGTTTATTTCTCAATTTATAATAAAAACTACATTGAATTAAAATACAAATACATTATACATTATCAGTTTAATTATAGTTATTAAATAAAACTGCTACTCATTAAAGTCATATTTTTCCTTTTGAAATTGATCTAATCCTAACAAATCTTTATTCGCTATTAAGATATCACTTTTTTCATCAGCAAATAAGTTTTTGAAGAACGTGAGGGAAATTCAATGGGATACACCGAATCATCGTCATCAACATCTGAGCGAATAAAGCCATGTCGCGTGTAGAATGAAATTGCAACTTCATTAATATGACGCGTATGCAGCCAGATGAGGCGGTAGCGCTCTTCGATTACTTTGAGGAGACTCGAACCAATCTTAATGCGTTGGAAATCTGGATGAACTACAAACTGCTCGATATAACAGATATCGTCTTTCGTTTGGATACACATGAAACCAACCATGAGCTCCGAAGAGTCTCTAGAAACTTCGACCCATAATTGTAGTTTTCCTGACTGTATTAGAGACCAAGTAGCATTAAAGGAATGTTCAAGAAACGAACCTAAAGTTTGTTCCTGCGGTAGGTCAAGTTGCAAATCGCGATATGCAAGGGAAAAAGATCGCATGTACAGATTGCTAAATGTAGCACGTTGCACCTCTAGAACTGGACCAGTTGTTAGAACTCGTTTGGTAATATAATCATTGTTGAGAGTTTTATCAGCAACGTAATTCTTCTTGCTATAGTCTTGTGCGGTCATTTTTCGTCCAAGTTATCTTACAAAAGATATGTAATTTTTCGAGGGGAGACTAAATTCACCACTTATATATGTTACTCTTTTGAAGTTGATCGATATTGGCGTTGATTCATAATATGCTAAAATTCATAGTATAAAGATTTATGACCCTAATGGGGAATATAAAAATGAGAATTTTTGTTACGATGTCGATAAATGGAACACATTTGTTGTATTTCCATATTTGACAAGCTATTTATTATCAGATCGCTGAAGTGCTGAACCCGGGATTTTTAGCACCCAATCCAAATGATCAACATGTCTCTTGGCTGAATTTTGTGCAGCTTATAAACTATGTCCGATCATTTGGATTGGTTGATAGACTATTCACTTTAAATGATCTACAATATAGCCCCGTAATACCAATTTCTGTACTATGACAGTGTATAAATCTAGAGAAAAAGAAAATTAATGTGCACATAAGAAAAAATTTTTTGCGCACATTTAAATAAGCTTACATATAAATTTGTGCACAACTGTATGTTAATTAAATAATATTAAGTTTTAAAAATTGTGCACAAAAAAAAAATGGCACATTAAAAAAAAACATTGTGCACATGAATTTTATGCATTGTTTCGTAATACTTAACATAAAAGGATATGTAAAATTCATATGGTCAAAACCCGCATTTCTGAACTTTTAACATAAAAAAAATTTTTTATTTAAAAAACTTTTGAGAAACTTTTAAAACTTCGCGAATGTCTAATTGTTTTTGGCGAATGTAAAATAAAGAATATTATTGGTTCCTATTTTTGGTTTAATTTTGAGTCGACGTTGTAATAAATATTTTAAAGATTTTTATATATTATTTGTTCTTGTATGGATTTTTGGCATACAAATAAATATCAATACGTAACAAAATAAGCCTAATAATATTCCAAAATATAACATTATTTAACAAAATAGCATTATTTATTATATCAAGTAACAATAATTTTCTAGTTTTATATTAAAGAAAAAGAAACGAAACAAATAATACATTTACATTTCTTTGTCATTAATACTAGGAAAACGGAAACCATCGCATTTATTTACTCGGTATCTTTTTTTGTTACAACATAAAAAAAAATATAGCATAATATAACAATATGCAACACCAAATAAAATTAGTGTCACGATAATCAAGCAAGGGCTGATACGTCAGCATATGGAAGGAAGGAAATTGAATGGGTTACCACAAAATCGACAGTAGAAAACCTTCGCTAACACTTCGGACAATAAATATCTTGTAAATAAAGAAAATAGTCAATTTGTAAATATATTTACATATTTAGTAAGAAAAATTTATTATAAATCAATCTACAAAATCAATTCAATTAGTTTAATAATTCTCGAGGTGAATCAGTTAATTAATAATGTGTATATTCGGATTTGATAACAAAACCGTTAGACTTAACTAGCAGATATGAAAATTTTTCCAAATTGGGTTTATACTTTAATTTTTTGCAGGAAGGATGGCTGAACTTCTTCCTGTAAAAAATGTTGATCCGTATTTTATATTTTCATGTTTTTTTCGTGAATTTATCATTTTCATAGAATTTATAGCCTTAAATCATGGAAATTTTCATCTCTCTAACACGGATATTCGTGAATGTATCATTTTCACGGAATTTTTACGAAAGCCATGGAGAAATAATGGAAATATTCGGATAAAAATTTTTTATAGGTTCTATCAGTCACTTTATGCTTTATATCTGGTTACTAAGCTCGCGGATAATAAAAAAGGATAATGAGTATGATTAGTGTTGTCATATAATGTTGAAAGCACATGTGAACGGAAATGTTCAAACCTTTTCATCTTGCAAAGACTCAAAGTTGGCTTTACGCCTGAATTTTACTCATCTAAGCCAATTTCTCCATATATTTGAGATTTTCCTGATCACTCCCAAAAAAAAATTCTGAAAAAAACTCCGATAAATGATCATATTTCTAGTTTTTATTCCGAAGAAACTCAGACACGGATCATTTTCTGAAAAATTTTTATAGGGACTAAGTGAATACTCTATCGCATCCTATTGACCACAAGTCTCAAAAAACAGTAGTTTATGTCTAATGTATCTTATTCGAAAAAATATAAATTTCAGCAAATAATTTTTGTTATAGGAAATGTACTGGAAATGTCCATCGGGATTATAGATCATACCAACCAGCTAAATAATTACCGAAAGGTGAGGCGTTATTGATTGGCTAATAGCAATTGTATAACATCTGAAAAACTAACGCGAAAAACAAAATTGATAACAACAATGAAAACAAATGTATCTTATTTTAATTTAATATTTAAAATTAAGATAATCATGTATGGTATGGCTTTTTATGTATGCATTGTATGATTTGTATGGTTCACCAATACATACATAATCGACCATCTCTTTAAAGAATTTGATTTTTTCCAAATTTCTTTACATTAATAATTATATTGACTTATTAAATAATTGTATGTGTGTTTTGCAGAAATAGAGAAAGATTGGTGGCGGCACCCAGCTCGGTATTTTTTTTTTGCGTCACATACATGTGCTCATGTGCGACAATATATATGGATCACAAGAGCGCTTTGTGCAACAGAAAAATTTCGAAGGAAATATATACGTTAACAGTTACTGTTTCCTCTATCTTTTTTCCCGAACAAATGCGAAAAAAGGTGAAAGAAAGTCTGCATGCAACACAGGCCTCTCACATAAATAAATATTAGCGTTTAAAACCATATGCCATGAAGGGCTGAGGACTTCGCAATTTCGAGATCTTCAGGCGTAAAGCCAACTTTGAATCTTGCAAGATGATAAGGTTTGAGCATTTCCGTTCACATGTGCTTTCAACATTATACGGCAACACTAATCATACCCATTGTCCTTTTTTATTATCCGCGAGCTTTAGTAACCAGATATAAAGCATGAAGTGACTGGTAGAAAAAATTTTTATCCGAATATTTCCATCCTTTCTCCGTGGCTTTCGTAAAAATACCGTGAAAATGATACATTCCCGGATATCCGTGTTAGAGGGATGAAAATTTCCATGATTTAAGGCTATAAATTCCATGAAAATGATACATTCACGAAAAAAAACATGGAAATATAAAACACGGATCAACATTTTTACAGGAATAAGTTCAGCCATCCTTCCTGCAAAAAATTAAAGTATGTGTATGTCAGAAGTTGAAGTTGTACTTGCATACGAACAAAATTTTCTCACTACCTACGGTAGTAAGGTCTTGTATTTAGGAAAGCAAGATGAGCGATATTACTCAATTGTCTTATTGTACCTAGAGTCAACTTAATGCTATAGAGTTGTGCAAAACATTCACAATTGTCAGGTGTCAAGCAGTTAGCGCACTTGAAGCTGTAATTCAAAACAGCTTGGGGAGCACCGTTTATCTAGATATTCGTCAAATTCATCCTGGAAGCGCTATTAGAAGGCTGCATCACAGGATTTGATTTCTGATCCTGCCGTGTACAAAAATTTTATCGTGACATCCGAGCTTGAATAATTAGAACAACGCATTGCCGTCTTTAAAGCTAAGAATATTGGGCTTAAGAATGGCTTAAGGATGAGAATACGAATTTGAGACAGATTTTTGATGAGAATGCCAGACAAATACTGACCTCAGGTCTAGAGTTAATTTTATGATGATGAAAGGACGAAGTAATGTTGAGCCCGACTATCTTTCCAGTGTCATCCTAAGATGCTTCAGTCATGTGAATATAAGATCCAGGATTGTACAACACTGAATTATTACATTGAGCCGGCTACCGGCTACGTTTCCTTTTTTCCGAATCACGTGAGTGCGTGTGCTTATGTAAATCTCTACCGCAGTATAAGCTATGCGCAGTAAACGTCATTAGTATTATTTATTTATATCCCGAAATAAAATGAATAGATTTTTTATAATATTTGTTTATTTCTCAATTTACAATAAAAAAGTCTCAACAACATTGAATTATCATAAAATATATTATACATTATCATTATAGTTAAATAAAACTATTACTCAAAGTCAAATTTTTTCTTTAAAAATTGATCTGATCCTAATAAATTTTTTATTCGTCACTAAGATATCACTTTATTCATCAACAAATAAAGTTTTTGAAGAACGTGAGGGAAACTCAATGGGAGCATCTGAGCATGTCACGTGTAGAATGAAATCTTCTTGCTTTTGTCATTTTTTTTAGTGTCTGTAGCTGTCTCGGCTAAGTTATTTTACAAAAGGTATGTAATTTTTTGGGGGAGATATCAAATACTATTTATATGTCCGCGAGGCCACCGACCGAGCGAGTGCAATCCATACGGCCATACCTCTGAGTAGTATGAAAATGTATATTCTGGAACAAAGTACCCTTCTACGGTATCGGTAAGGTTAATAGATACTCATGATTTTTTTGAAAAATTTGTTTTTCACAAGGGGATATCACTGCAGACTGGAGGAAATTGATCCCAAAACTCCAAGATTTTGACGCGCTTTTCGTCCGATTACTCTTCTGGAATCGATTAGGAGGTGTGTCATTAAAGTCGTAACAAACCGTTTGTCAACAATTTTATCGAATCATCATGAGTTGACCAATATTGGCGTTGATTCATAATATGCCAAATTTCATAATATAAATATTTTGTGAGCGGAAGTTATTATCAGATTTATTTTATTTATTTATTTTATGTCAAGCAGGCAATAGATTTAAGTATTGCTATTATTCAATCAAAATGAAAGTTATTAGCGCTACACAAATACAATTGTCATCCAGCATAAGCCAGACCCTCGCTTCTAAATTATCAGATTGCTGAAGTGGATTTTTAATAATTTTAATATTGCACAAATCACGTGTTCTTTTCTTACTAAATTTACATTTCTTTACTTGACTACCTGAAAATACGTCACGTGATTTTTCATGACATTTTTTCAGGTTACGCTAGGAAAATCGGTTGACTTACAATTATTTTCATAATTATTTTCCTCTCCCTCAAAAATATTCC